AGGGACTTCCAGTGGCAAAGGTCAGGGGTTAAGGAGTGGGACTTCCAGTCACAAAATAGCGACCAGGGGGCAGGGCACTTGTCAAAGGGTAGGGCCCTTGACAGCTCACCAAAAATCATTAAGCAGCCCCCACAAGTCCCCCATACCCACCCACCCACATACCCATCCACGCATATCCCTCACACCCTCCCTCACACCCCACATACACACACATCCACACACACGCACAATTCCCCACAAACCCCATACCCACCCCTCCAGGCCCCCTACAATATACAAGAGTAAGACTTCATTTTGAGGTATTATGCAATCACCTCAGTATATGCAGTGGAAACACACACAAATCAAGACAAAAATATATTTTTAAGTAAAATTAAAATATGTTATTGTCAGTGTTTGATTTTTAGTTTATCTGGGGGGTTTTTTCCAGTTCCAAGATGACAAACCCCCTTCCAAAAAAGAATACTTCTAGGGCAAGGGGAGGGATTTGTGGTGGCAAAGGTCAGGGGTAGGCAGCAGGACTTCTGGTGACCGGGGGCAGGGCTACCCTTTTTGCCCTTGGTAGCTCACTAAAACTTGTTAAGCGTTGCTCCGGCTGAAATAATTGCCTGTCCCTGAATTAACCAGTTAATTGTGCAACACCTGTAACATATAGAGGGAGCCTCATTGTATTAGATCCAAAGCTAAGCAAGTATTGGCAATTTCAGCTGAGTTTATGTCAAGTTTTTGTCTTGGTACAAATGAAGATGCAAGGTTCTAGGGATGTTAGTCATAATAAAGCAGGGGATTTACACTGTTCTGTTCCTGATACAAGAGATCTTGCTGAGAGATGTACTTTTTTCAGGACCCAAAGCTTGTTTTTTACTATTCTTAGTTCTATGAAATAATCTTAAATATGTTAGATGTTTCACAACCTCTTTAAACTGTGGTAATCCTTCTGAATGGGTATGTAACCCATGAAAAGTAACTAAATAAATCAAAATGTTTTTATGACTTTCTCTAGACCAAAGTTATTTTCTTCTTTTATAAAGAATATTTGCAACAGTGCCACATGTTATGTAAAGGAATATTAAAGTTCACAGTTTATTTTCTGCAGGGCTGTTGGTTGTAGCCATGTTGGTCTAAGTACATAGGCAGGCAAGGTTCGTTAGGTAGATGTGATATCTTTGTTTAGACCAACTAAGTAGTTGGAAAAAATATTCTTTGCAAGCTTTCAGCGTTTGTGCCTGAAGGCTTGCAAAGAACGTTTTTTCCAACTATTTAGTTGGTCTTATATAAGATATCACATCTACCCAAAGAACCTTGCCTGCAATTTATTTTCTAGAATTTATACCCACAGTTTATTCAGTAGAAGTTCTGATTCTCCAATTACTCTATTTCAGGATATTGATTGGGTACAGACTGAGAAACATGTGTTTGAACAGGCATCCAGTAACCCATTCCTAGTTGGTTTACATTCATGCTTTCAAACGACAAGTCGGTAAGAAAGATGTATATTTTGTGGATATCGCCTGTATGTATGTGAATCAGTACATAATTTATGGGGTTAAGTTGCTTAAATGGATAAATAAATACGAATAAGAGTATCTTTATAAAAAAGAAAGAAAGGAACAGGACGTCCATTTTTCAAGCCATGTATGTAAACTCTGACTTAAGAATGTTTCTCCTGAATTTTCTTCACATTTAATACGTTTAAGCTGTGCTCATGGGCTGGATCTGGCCCACAGCTGAGGGATCAATGGCATATGGCAGCAGGAGCCACAGGAAGAGCACTCCCAGGGTCCTTCTGCCTGCTGCATTCAGGTTGTCTCAGTGCATTTCTGTGCCATGTTCCAACTCATGATACGCCACTTCATGTACAGTTCCTGGTAATGCCCCAGCCCTGCCTGCTCTCTACTCTCACCACTGAATTTTTCCCTCAACACGGCCATCGGCCACAGATATTCACAGCCCTTGGTAGTGGTGGTAAATGGAGGCCATGGGGGGAGTGTGCTAGAGAGTAGGGAGTGCCAAAGTAGTAGAATGGTGGCCCACCATACATAAATAGTTGCCAACCCCTGGTTTAAGCAGTAAAATACAGAAAAATAGCCCATCTCAGATTATGCATATAAAAAGGTACTAATATTTAAAAGCAATTAAGCATTTATTGACTGCTTACTCAGATGAACTGAAGTCCTTTTTCAGTCTGTGCTTTTTTTCTTGGATGCCAGAGTGATGAAAGTATAAAAATAATCATTAATAAATAATGACTATATATAGGTCAGTTATACTTCTTTATTAGTGGTTCTCAACCTTTTTAGACTCAAGGCACCCTTCATTAGGCTTGAGGCAAGGACAGCCCTGAGCCTCTGCTTATCTGCGTAGTGTATCTGCTAATCTCCTCACATCTCACTTATGTCCTTGCATCTTGTGGCACCCTTCACAGCATCTGGCAGCACTCCAGGGTTCCATGCACGTTGGTTGAGCATCATTGATCAATATGTATTAAAATGTCTTTTAGTTGTCCAGATCCACTTTCTGAGCTGGTTCACACAGTAACAAGTTTTTCAAAACTAAGTAACTGCAGTTCCCTGTAAGTGTTCACTTGCTTAAAAAGCAGTAAACCTGAATTTTTTTTAAGATAGCATTCTGTGGATATATTTTAGCCTGGCTTGTGTACATATCTAATAAAAAGAAGCACCCATCTTTGTTCCCAAGGTACCTTCACAATTTTTAAATATACAGCCATGACACGCATCAATCTTGCAATCCCTCTGCCTCACCACCTACTATTAATCCATATCATATGTTCACAGCAACCAGCAATAACCCAGCAGCAAATAAACGTTGGCTATTCCCTTCCTACCATAATATTCTCATTTTCTCTTAGTTAGTAGGAATAAATTATCTGTACAAAATGCCCTGACGGTCATTAACTAGAGTTGTTATGACCAGGGAGAAGAAATTTGCTCCAAAGATGACCCAGAAACAAATTAATAAAAATGGTGTTTTTACAGCTTTATAACATACAAAAAAAGGACCTAAAAGGAGATATATATATTTTTTATTTCTGCTTGCCCTTATTTTAGAAATGTCAGGAATATGAGTACCATCCTCCCTTGATTGTTATGCTTCAGGGTTTTCTGGATGTCTGAGGGTTGTATTGATGAACAGGTCATCTGAGTTTAAATGGTCACAAAAATAAACAACATTTATTATTTTAAATATTTAGTTTTAAAGTCCAATCCCCTTTCTTTTCTAATCTTACCGTTGTGTTATAATTTTATCATTTCACTAATACCACTGTTTCATTATACCTGTCTTAGACCTGAAAGTCTAATTTAAAAAACAAAAAGGAAAAAAGGAAAGAAGAGAGGACAGACTTTATAAAGAAAAGAGAAAAAAAGTTTTGGTTTTGTATTGGTTGAGTTTTGTTAGTTTTTCAACCTATACTGTGAGAAAAAACTTACAATTTGGGTTGACAAATTTAACTTTTGTTCAAGTACCTCAAATGAAGATGGTCTGTCTTGTACCTTAGATTTTAATTTGGTTTGGACTTTATCTGTCTCTTGAACTTGACCTTTAGTTAACATTTTAAACTTAATATATAGTTGTTTAAGAGGGTATTCTCTGGGTGGTATAAATGGACTCTTCTATATCTGTGCTTTACCAATCTTAGAATTGGGTGAGCATCAAGGGAGACATTTTCCAAATAGGTGTGATGAGAGAATGGTAAAGAGGCATTTTTAAATCATGGAAAAATTGGAACATAAGGAAAAGCTGCTTCTCAGACAGCTTCAGCTTTTATAAAAAGCACTTGCTCAAAATGTGTCGAAACTGTAGGTCTCTTTGACCTTGGCAACTTTGCCTGGATCACATTTTCCCACAGATGAAATGTTCCCTCTAGAATGTAATGTCTTTTCATATGGCTGATCATTCTACTTCTATGTTGTATCCTACCTAATGCATTTCGTCTTGTCTGTTTGAGGAGACATTTTTAAAACTCAGTCTATAAAGCAACCAGTAAGCCTGGATACTGAAGCCTGACTATAAATGGATCTCCCATTGACTTCATTGGGCATACCATTATATATATATATAATGGACCTGTAATAGATGTAGAAATTTCTTCACATATCAGGACATTGAGCCATTTCTGATTATAGTATTCTGTGCTAAGAAATATAGCATAATTATAAAGCAGGACGATCCCCAACTATATCATCCGAGCCAAGGCTTTGTCTAGCCAGGTCTTAAAACCTCGAAGGATGGAGATTCCACCACCACTCTGGGTAACCTGCTCCACTGGTTTACTACCCTCCTTGTGAGGAAGATTTTCCTAATATCCAACCTAAACTTCCCTTGCTTGAGCAACTTGAAACAATTGCTCCTTGTTCTGTCACCTGCCACCACTGAGAACAGTCCAGCTCCATTTTCTTTGTACCATCCTTCACTTATTTGCAGGCTGCTATTAAATCTCCTCTTAGTCTTCTCTTCTCCAGACTAAATAAGCCCAGTTCTCTCAACCTGTCTTCAGAAGTCATGTGCCCCAGCCCCTTAACTAATTTTGTTGCCCCCTGCTGGACTCTCTTCAATTTCTGCACGTCCTTTCTGTAGTGGGGGAAAGCGGGGGGGCAGAACTGGACACACTACTCCAGATGTGGCCTCACCAGTGCTGAATAGGGGAAAATAATCACTTTCCTCAATCTGTTGGCTGCACAGCTACTAATGCATCCCAATATGCTGTTAGCCTTCTTGGTAGTAAGGCCACACTGTTGGCTCATGTTCATCTTATTGTCCACTGTAACCCCCAGGTCCTTTTCTGCAGAGGTGCTGCTTAGCCAGTCAATTCCCAGTCTGTAGCAATACATGGGATTGTTCTGTTCTAAGTGCAGGACTTTGCACTTGTCCTTATTGAACTTCATGAGATTTCTTTTGGTCCAGTCCTCCAATTTGTCTAGGTCTCTTTGAATCCTGGCCTTACCCTCCAGTGTATCTACTACTCCCATCAGCTTGGTTTAATCTACAGATTTGCTGAGAGTGCGCTCCCCATCCCATCTTCCAGGTTGTTAATGAAGATACTGAACAAAACTGACCCCAGGACCAGCAGGCTGTCAACTAGATATCAAGCCATTGACTACTACCCTTTGACCTTGATGATCCAGCCAGTTTTCTATCCACCTTAGAGTCCATTCATCCAACCCATATTTCCTTACCTTGCTTGCAAGAATGCTGTGGGAGACTGTATCAAAAGGCATGCAAAAGTCAATGTTTAAGGTATTTTCAAACTTTTCTACTGGCAAAGGTATTTGTAAAGTCAGAAGGGGGGGGGATTCAGTTATTCTAGATGCTCCTTTTGGCTGCACCAAATTTAAGTTCCATTTCTGATGAATAATTGTCACACCTGAACTTAGACGTTTAGTCTTTGTACAGAGGCTATGCACACCAGGCATACTGGAATTTAAAACATATTTCTCATAGCACAGGATGAAGAGCTCATAAATTGCTCTATTAGGCATATATTTAGAACTGTTCTTATTTTTATGTCTGCATATCTGCTGGAACAGGGCTATTTAACTTGTGGCACCCAGGCTTTCTATTCAGGTGTCACTTAGTAGGCCTGTGTGAAACCGCTCGTATTTGCTTCAGATTCAGCCAGTTCGGGGGACAGTGATTTGATTCGGTGATTCGAATCACTGTCCTGAATCGATTCAGCCGAATCTGATTCGGCCACTGCCAAGTCGGCTGAATCTCCGAATCAAACAGGCCCCATCCCCTGCCCACTTTCCCAGTCCCATCAGTGGGTGCTCTGCCCAGCCCCAGCCTCCCAGCTCTTTAAAAAAAAAAAAAAAAGAGTCTGGCACTCACTGGCTGCTCCCAAGCAGGGGGGTGATCCCCACTGCCCTGTGTTGCGTGGGGGGCTCTGTCACGAGCCCCAATCCCCCACCTGCTTTCCCAGCCCCAGCTCCCGGCTCTTTAAAAAAAAAAAGAAAGAAAGAAAAGAAAAAAAGCAAGGGGAGTGATCCCCACTACCACCCAGTGCCCCATATTACATGGGGGGCTCTGCCACGAGCCCCCAGAAGCCCCAACAGCTGCTGCAGCAGCTGGTGAGTGCAGGCTTTTTTTCCCCCCTTTTTTTCTTTAAAGAACTGGTTGCTGGGGCTGGGAGAGTGGGCAGGGGATGGGGGTTCGTGGCATAGCCCTCCCACGCAGTGCAGGGCAGTGGGGGGCAACAGGGATCACATCCCCTGCCTGGCAGGAGCCAGTGAGTGCAGGGCTTTTTGTTTCTTTGTATGTTTTTTAAAGAACCAGGAGCTGGAGCCGGGTGGGGTAGCCATTGACGGGGCTGGGAGAGTGGACAGGGGTCAGGGGGTGCTCAGGGGACCTGGGGGAGCAGGCAGGGGATGGGGCCTGGTGGGGGGCCCCCATTGTCCCCTCCCTCCGCCTCCAGCGCCCCCGCCCCCACCGCCTACTTACTGGCACGGAGTCTGGGTCCAGATCTCTGCGGCGGTGAGTAGAGACTGCCCAAATCTCCGAAGCTCTCTGAATCTTTTCCAAATCAATTCAGAGAGCTTCAAATTGATTCAGACCTTTTTATTCATCTCCCAATTGGATTTGGATTTGGAGATTCAACTGCAGAATCAAGCCGAATCTCCTCTGAATTGAATCAACACCCGAAGCTTTGCACAGCCCTATCGCTTACCCCATCACTCTCCTGCTTTTGCCCCTAGGGTCTCCAGGCTCCCCTCCCTCCTCTCATTTGTTTCCTGTACCTGTCCCTGGGGTCAGAATAAAGCAAGATAGCCTGTGGGCTCAGGGTGCCTGGGATGCTCATGTGGTGCAGCACAGCACAGCTGCTCACATATGGCCCCCAGCCACTCAGAAGTTGGACAGGCCTGTGCTAAAACATCTGTTTGGGAGATGACTGGTTTGAATCATATGTGATATCAGTCATCAGAATCATTTTGCATCACATTTACTAGTTTTAAAAGATGGGCATGTTTTTCTGGTGCTTTGGTTGTTTTTCAAAGAATAACAGAAAAGATAACATCAAGTTTCAGATGAAGTTTTGGAGAGTATTGCAGGAAACTTTATTTTTCAAATGTGAAGCTGTTCATACTCTGTCTTTCCTGATTTAAAAATAATCAGCCTAAAACAGTATTTTGTATATGGCAATAACTCATACCATGTACTGGAGTAGTAACAGTAACAGTAGTAAACAGCCAAATTATTATTATATGATTGATCCTTTTTTTAGTGAAAGATACTAATAATACATTATCATCGAATTAGAATTTTTAAAGCAAACTGTGGTATTTATTTTCTTATGGATGTTTTTCTGCTTCATTCTGTTTTCTATGCCAGAGAAATACAGCTATTCAGTAGCTGTACAGTGATAAGACATGATACTACTGTTCTAAGTTCCATGAGACAGTCATTGCAGTCTGTATCACTCATTTGAAATGATAGTCACTAGAATAAGATATTTTCACAGTACAAATGTTGTTTTTAAAATTAATATCTGCTTTGCTCCTGCTTTTATTTCTAATAGATAAATTCAAAGCTAAAGTATTTATCATCTTTCTGCCTGTCACGCTCATATGACTGTTTCATAGATTTCATAGATATTAGGGCTGGAAGGGACCTTGGAAGATGGAGTCCAGCCCCCTACCTCAGGGGCAGGAAGTCAGCTGGGGTCACAGGATCCTAGCAAGATAAGCATCCAGTTGACTCTTAAAGTAATCCAGAATAGGTGCTTGACTATATCTCATGCCCTTGTTTTTATCTCTGATTAAGTTAAGATTTTTAAAGAATATATTTTCATACTATATTTGAGAAGTAGTGATTTTGTATTAATAGCCAAAAGTAGAACTCTGCTACTTTAAGTAACTTCTAATATCCTTTTCATATATTTGGGTAGTTATTCAGGGCTCAAGCCAAATACAGACCTGGTGTAAACAGCTTAACCTCCATTAAGTTCAGTCCCGTTCCTTCATTTGTATTCCTCTGGTAAAGAATTCATATATCTATTATTTAATGATGGTATTTCACTTGCATACTACAGACATGGGTGTATTATAAATCCAATAAATATTCTTTTGTTTGGTTTCGAAATAGTTATTTCTGATCTAACTTTAAGGTTAAATCTCTTATATAAGAGAGGGCAATTTAGAGGTAAGAAAAAATTAATTTGGAAATTAAGGGTCACCGCAATTTTTTCGCTTGAAAACGTCCTTGGATTTATTTTATTTTATTTTATTTTCAGGTTGTTCCTTGTCATAGAGTATGTAAATGGGGGAGACCTCATGTTTCATATGCAACGGCAAAGAAAACTTCCTGAAGAACATGCAAGGTATTCTATTAATGCATTGATGAATGTACTAATTCTCTTAGTGTTGCTACTTAGCACAACATAAAAAAAATAATTACAAAACTTAAATGACAGTAAGACAATTGCAAGGGAGATTGTGTTCTTGACATTTGAAAAGTAAAAATCATGTTCTTAAGATTAGAATGCAGTGCACACTTGAGAGAGAAACCACTTTTGTATAAGACAAGGGATGTGCATTTAAAGAAAAAAGCAAAACCATAATGCAGTTGATAATAAAAACCATTAATTATTACTGCTATATATTCAGTAAACTGGTCTCTGAAATGCACTTCTGATTGAGGATTGGATTCTTTAAGTGAATCTCAATCAAGTGGTTCTATACCAAACCTCAAATGGGGGTATAATTAAGGAGAAGCAAACTCTTCTCTTGCAAGCCTTGGCACTACAGATAAATGTCAGTACGGTAGACATGATGTAGACTTTAGTATTCTAGTCCTGAAGCTGGTTAATAATTTGTCAGGTTCATGTAAATATTTACAATAAAGAACAAATTTCTTTGTATAATCTGATTGTATCAAATATAATAACATTGAAAAAAATACTTGCCATACTTAACTATAGAGAGTAGCTGTACTTGTTTTGATCATAAGAGCCCCTTATGATTGAATTGGCTTTGTTATCCTCTCTCTAGGTAGAAGCTAAACTGATGTTAGCTCTTTATTAACTACTGTCTTCCTTCTGTTTCAAAAATTCATTGGCATTTTCAAGTGTTACCAACTTTATATGATTCCCCTAATGGACAGGTTGGTTTTTCTCCTTTTTATTTAAGATTTTATGCTGCTGAAATTTGTATTGCTCTAAACTTTCTACATGAAAGAGGAATAATCTACAGAGATTTAAAGCTAGACAATGTTCTTCTAGACGCAGAGGGTCATATCAAGTTAACAGATTATGGCATGTGCAAGGTAGGATTTTTTTTTTATTTCTCACTGATTTTTTTTCACCAAAGTGTTTCCCTGTTTTCTTAGATATGGATTTTCTTAAACCTTTAGTCCCCACCCTTTGCACTGCAAGCAGCATATTATTCTGTCCCTGTCAACCTCCATTTTAATTTTCCAATTTTCTGTGGTCACAAGCAGGGTAGGAGGGTCTCATGTGCAATGTGTTGCCCATGCAACATGCACTGCCCCAGATGTACACAGGATAAGAGAGCCCAGAATTTGCTTTTTAAAATGCAGTTCAACCCTGAAAACTAACTTCTAAAAAATTAAACTTTCTTACTTAGCAAACTTTCTTTTTGTATGAATTCCACTTCATGTGCTGACTTTTGGGCTAAAATGAGTTACTTTGTTTTGCTTTTGTTAGTCCTGAAGATTCGGAATTACTATCCAAAAAGTCCTGAAAAGCTCAATGCCTTATTTTCTCATTCATTGTCAACAAATTTAACCAACAGCTAGATCTACAAAGGAACTTGGGTGTTGTGCATTAGAGCATTGCAACACCTAATATTTTAGCACTGGCCCCAAGAGACAAATTCTCAGTCCTATGTGACCTTAGGCCTACATTATAAACTTAGGACCTAAGAGTCCTACTTTATATTTCCCCAGTTCCATTGAAGAAATTTAATTGTTACTAGCCTTTATTTTTGGATACTGAAGTCACTGGGATTCCATGGTTGGTTAGTATTTGACCCTTGTCTTTGGTGCAGGTCAAGTCTGATACATCCTCAATGAGAAAATTAACACTGCCCTTCTAGGGGGATGGCCTTGACTAACTTATATACTGGACTTTTAATATTTACACTTCTGTGAACTTGATTTCTATTAGCCTTCTCAATTATGAGGTCTTATGGGGAAGAGGTCTTGTATATTTTTACATACACAATTTCTCTATTGAAAATTTGTAGCATGACAGCATTGGCACTGCAACCTTCTGGTATTTAATCGCATCATGCAAAGTTTTGTTCCAAAATGGTTGATAAGTGTGACATTTACCTTAAGGGACTCTACAGAAGGTATTAGTGGTCTCATTTTAAAATGTTGCAGTGTAAAAAGCAAAGATTGAGGAACTTGAGCAAATTAATGTAGAGAGACCAGAAACTTTTAAGAAACTTGCATTGGGTATTAAAATGTTCATCTCCTCACTTGCTGGTTTCACCCCTTTGGCATACATACAGTAAGATTAATATGTCAGGCCCCTAACCTATGTTACATTTAAGATGTGATTCACCAGTCAGTCGCATCTTCAAGTGCAACCTGGCGATACAGTCAGCTGCAGCTTAAAGCGAAACCAGCCACAAAATTATTCCACAAAAAGTATGTAATAATGTTGTCACTGATTTCCTTCGTGCCTTAAAATAAATGTGCAGCTGGGTGGGACTGCATAGGGACTTGATAGGGCTGCAGTGTTTCTGCCAGCCACCAGTCAGCTGATTGGTGGCAGCATCGAGGTTGTACTGGGAGTAGAATGGGCCCCGGTGCAATCCCTGCTGGTTGCTGATCAACCAGTGAGCGGCAGCATCAGGACAGCACAGGGTTTGGAATGGTGGCCAGCAGGGACTGCACCAGGGTCCATTCCAGCCCCAGTGCAGTCCTGATCCAGGTGCCAATCAGTCCTGGCTGGCCCCAGGGACTTGAATTGGCCCTGTGGGTCCCTGTAGCAAACTGACAGTCAGCTGATTGTCAGGCAACACTGATGCAGGGGGAGCCCAGGACCATGATCTTGGGGTCACCCTGTATTGGCAAGTAAGGTGTGATTGAGATCTGATCCATGATCCCAAAGTTGCATGTCCTGCTATACACGTGACATGGCAGGAGACTCAATTGTTGGAATCACGGATCAGATCCCATCACGCCTTTAAATGAACATCTGTCAGTGGCCTCAGGTATTTCCTTGTGCCAGACGAATCCTCAAAGTAGCAGTACAGCTAGCACTTCTGTGACAATTTCAGAGAGCCCAAGGATTGACTGGACCATATGAATTTGAAACTACTGTACCAATATTTCCTTTAGTTCATGATTAAAGCACATTAGTCATGGGGCAGTATAAAGAAGCTTACATTGTCACTTACATTGAGAAAACAAAAACTATTTTTAGTCTCAGAAAACAGTTATGTTAACATACATTTAAAAAGTGTTCTTGTGTTGTTTAAGCAATAAAAGCACCTTTGAAACATATTAAGGCTAATGATATTACATGGTGCAGTCCTAGAACAACTCACAAGCCAGTCTTGAACCTTGAGCACTTCTGGAAGGTGTCTTGTCACTGTCTTAATCTTCTGGAATTGCATTTTTGCACGGAGGAGTCTTGGACTCCCAAATCCGTGTCTTCAAAACCTGGTTGAAAGGAAGTTCCTGTAAGTAGAACTCTACTTTCAATATTGAATTGGTTTATTCCTTTAGGAGGGATTAGGCCCTGGTGACACTACAAGCACTTTTTGTGGAACGCCAAATTACATTGCACCAGAGATCCTCAGAGGAGAAGAATATGGTAAGGCAATGCATAAATGGTAACAATTTAATTGCAATGAATCCCAAGTTCAGGTTCTGATATCAGGCTGCTATGGATATTTTAATTAGGCTTACATATTTTTTAATTTCATTATGTACAGACAAGACTGGAATTCATTGCATCTTCTGTAATTCCATTTTAGCTTTTTCTGATGTACTTGAGACAATTTTGGTATCCTGCCTCATAATCATGATTGTTTAGGTCCTATGAAAACAGGGTTTCAGAATGGGGGGGGCTTCCTACTGAGAGAGAACTCTTACCTAGGACTACAGAGCAATGCCTGTCCCTTACACCTTGGCTTTAAAATTTCGGACTAAGCACTGTACGGATCAGATTTGAGTATCCAATCATGGAAGTCTTAGACTACTGTTGTTTCACATTCTATATGAGCATTTTACATATAATAATTAGCTGAGTGTATGGACTAAAATAATGGAATCCTGTAATTTAGCAGTATGATAATGTAACAATTACAACTCTAAAAATTATTAAATATCTTTCAGTATTAAGAAACATATTGACATTTATCTGAATGTTGCTAATTGGAACCTTGCTATTCTATGGCACAGCTGGAAGTTTTTGAACAAATTACTTGTGCTAATTTTTCTCCAAGGTGCTCTGAAAGTTTAGTCCTGAAATACACTGGGCCATGGCACCAGTGGCTTCAGTGAAAACTGAGGAGTCTCAGCATTTTGCAGAATTGGCCACTTAATCGCCATTGATTGTCTAGGGTTAGGCATCACTTGAAAACATGCTCTGCAACTGCTTTACAGGGTTTAGTGTGGACTGGTGGGCTCTTGGTGTCCTGATGTTTGAGATGATGGCAGGAAGATCTCCGTTTGATATTATTACTGACAATCCAGATATGAATACTGAAGATTACCTCTTCCAAGGTATAGTAAAGATATGTTGTATTATGTTTTAATTAATTTTAGTTTGTGAATCCCTTTGAAATAAAGTAAGACACTAACAATGAAAATTATTGGCCACCTTAAGATACTAAAGAATTCCTTACCCTGTCCTTTTAATCTTCCACAAAAGATTTGGTAGTGAGCCCAGTATTTCACATAGCTATCACTATGAGCACAGGTAAAAATTGCTATGGTGTTTCTAATTCAGCATCCAAAGAATAGTTTTCTTTTTAACATGAACAAAAATCCCAAACCACATAAAAAGCAAAGCCATGCCAACAAGACAAAGTCAGTCTTCTTCTAATTGGACTTTGTGCCTGTAAGGTCCACAGTACAGAACTAACCAATGACAATAGGGTTCAAATGTCCTTGGTTGTAGCTGTTACATCATATATTATATTTTAAGAAAATAAATAGATCATTATATTTGACAAATCACTGCTCATGTGTTACTCTTTCCCTCCTCTAACCATAGTTTGGGGTATTTTTTCTCTTCCACTCTTATTCTGTGGTACAAACATTTTATATTTTGTCTGTTTTTTCTTTATTTAAGAGAGTTGCAAATATAATTACTTTTACTTTGAATATCTGAAATGTTCTGATAGTGCCTACTAATAACACCTGAAATACTTAAGCAGTATAATTTTTTTATGCAATCAACTGCTGAAGTTACCATATTATATTCTTATTAGTTGGAAGAGGTAATGGTTTATTCACTCATAATTAGAAGAGAGAGCATTGCAGTATTTCTTTTAGGATGTAACTCTACATATGAAGATGTTTTATAAAAAACATTGGTTTCTATTATGGTAGGAATTTTCAAAGTGGTAGCTCTATAGTTCATTTCCTTATGGTGAATGCATGGCAACCATTTAGTAAGTTATTCATTAGAAGCTGTTTTGCCCATCAAAGGTAGCATTATGCATGATATAGTAATTAATTATAGAAATATTCAGTGAAATTTACATTTTGGGGACAATTCTGGAAATACTTGATTAGTAAAGAGTAGTTTTCAGAAGTATATTGCACAAAGTTGTGAAAAGAAAGGTCTCATTCAAACAACCTCCCATGGCCAATCTAAGTGCCACTGTGAGCATTCCCAAAGTCTGTTGCATATTTTTTAAACTACGGAACTATTGTCTAAGCTATCTGTTGTGGGGTGTATTGTATAATATGGTTTTTGATGATGCAATGGGAAGTCTTCTACAACACCAAGACCAGTATAATATTACTAGTACTGTTTAAAAATATTTTATATATCCTCTTGTTCAAGCCATTGAAAGGATGGCAAATCCTTATTCATTGCATTTATCAGTATGACACATACGGGATGAAAGATGTGGTCCATAAAGTTTAGACTATTCAGAAAAAGTTTAATTGTCACTTTAGTAATATCACCTTTCACTTTAAATATATTAAGTAATTAAATATTTGTCATATTAGCATATGGTCCAGATAATAGCATAGATGAACAATACAGTATATTTATTGAAATCCTAGTGAATATTATATAATGAAGCATAAACATAGATGTATATATACATATATATATATATATATATAT